TCGAATATTATCCCAGACTTGCATGATAATCGTAAGTTTCTCTTCTTTTTTGTTTTAAGTCAAGGTAGAGTAATTTATGAAAAAATAATTAACAACCTATTTGGTTTATGGCTTCAGACAAGCACTTTATTTTACCTGCTAGAGTTTTTGGTCTTCAAATAAACAGTTCCACAATTCTCTTCCATGTGGGTTTTACTCAACATCTTCAGCACAAGCCTGTGTGTTGACTCTAGACACTGCAAAAATGTGGAGGCTTATGGACTTTAGAATTGTATAGTTCAGTGTAATGATATTATCTTTAAGGCCTAAAATAATCAGATTAAAATATACAATAAAACAAATATGATTGATGGAAAGCCATTATACTATTGCAGTTTATTAGATTCTGGCACTAATGTGGTTCTTATTTTCCTCCTTATTTTGGAAAAAAATTAATAACAACATTTTGGGCTTCCAGTCAGTTAATTAACCTTAGCACCAGCTCAGTGCTTGCTGGATGTCTGAATTTCTGCCTTGTGATCAGGTGAAGATGATATTGAAAATAAATCAATGCTTTATACAAAATCAAAATCAAAATAAGTGATAACAGTGGATCACTTGAAGTATTTCAAATACTTACAAATATAGAATATGCAAGTTGGATCTGATACCTTATAACCAGATCCAGCATGCTGTTAAGTTGCAGTCTCAACAGGGAATATGAAGGACCTGAGAACTGAAGCATAGCACCAAATGTTCCACTTTTTGTTCCCTAGGTTGGAATAATAGAACAAGGATAAATAGCTTCTTCCATTTACTTTTGATGGTGTATTGCAGACCATATGCTACTGGAGCTTGCAGCGTCCTTCCAGTCTCCTTCTGGCCGACCTGCAACAAAGATTCTTAGTGTTGCAAGGCGTGTCAGGGGTGCTCTCAGGCAGGCTGACAAACCTGGATTTGTGTCTGCATTTTGCCAATCAAACTGTGGTGATGTTAGCCCCAATGTGCTTGGAGCTTTCTGTACAGACACTGGACTACCTTGTGATTTCAATCACAGTACCTGTGGTGGGAAGAATGAGTTGTGCTATGGCCGAGGGCCAGGGTACCAAATCTTGTGCTATCCAATGCTTTTGATAATAAAATACATGCCTTTTGAGTTGTTGGAATGCTAATGCTAATTTGTGTTTTGAACCTAACCTGGCAGTTACCCTGATGAATTTGAAAGTACCCGTATCATTGGAGAGAGGCAACTCAAAAAAGCTGTGGATCTTTTCAACACAGCATCTGAGAAATTAAATGGAATGATTGATCATCGCCACTCTTTTGTAGACTTCTCCCAGCTGGAAGTGACACTTCCTAAACAGGGAGGAGGTTCTGACGTAGTAAAAACATGTCCTGCTGCAATGGGTTTTGCATTTGCTGCAGGAACAACAGATGGACCTGGAGCTTTTGATTTCAAGCAAGGAGATGATGAGGTGACCTATGGTTGCTATATTTATGTCTTAAATTATCATATTCTGTCTTGATATTCAGAGACTGCCCTTTTCTCCTGATTGTTGTCTGTTGTCATGTTTTATCAGGGAAATGCCTTCTGGAGACTGGTGCGCAACTTAATAAAAACACCAGGAAAGGAACAAGTTGATTGTCAGCATCCAAAGCCTATCTTGCTTGATACTGGTGAAATGAAGAAACCATATGATTGGGCGGTGAGTTACTTGTTTGTACATCTGATGCTAGTAGAATGTGGCTGTTTACAAAAGTTTCTAAGCAAGTTGACACCCCTAAAGTTCACCATTAAAAACTCAAGTAACTTTGATGTCTGGATCGGGTAATAGTATTGATTAACAGTAACTAGCTTCAGTTCTAGTCCTAATTTATTTCGTAATTTTTTTTTGGAATTAAATGGCCAGGCGTTAATTTATGTGCAGACCTGTAGATTGAGTGTTCAAATCCTGTCTTTCTCACATCAAACAACTTAAAACTGGGATTGGGTAAAGTTAACTGTATGGCCTGTCAATTAGCAATAATGTATTGGGTAAAGTTTCCTTGATTCTGAACACATAACTGCAACTCCGTCCATCATTTATTCAACATTCCTTTTTTCTTTCACGATTTGAAGTTTTCTAAAGGTGTCTTCTGGCATGGCATGCCTGCCTCTTTTGTCTGTAACTATTTTTCTACTTCTAGGAATGCTAATGTATGTACGCTGTGAAATAGTAAAAAAAAAAAAAATTTTTTATCTTGTGTTTGGTATTCCTATTAGGGAAACTATTATCATGCAGATGATTTTTGGAACCACTGTTGCTTTACTACTGACCATCTTTTTCTTTCATGGACATGCAGCCCTCTATCCTTCCAATCCAGATTCTCCGTGTAGGGCAGCTAGTCATCCTCAGTGTACCTGGAGGTACCTTTCATTGCTTCTTTCCTTTATTTTCCCGTAAGGTAAATGCTTTCGTTAGCAGTATCATGTTTTATGATCAAACTAAGCTCTGAAGTTGAATTGATGAGAAACTACTGATATTTTATAGCCATAGATTATAGAACATGCTAAGATTGGACCTTTTGTCTTTTACCAAATGATGGTGATGAGCACACTGCTAAGGTTGTTACTCAGGCTGGGATGGAGGATGTGTTGTCAACCTGAGTACGGTCCAACTTTCTGTCATTAAATAGCCTGGTCCAGCTCAAATGAACTTATTTGTGTAAAACTGTAAATGGACATGTTGCATGGTGGGTTGAACTTCCATTATGCAAAAAATACCCCTGGAATATACATAACTAAATTTTGCTTCAGGCTGGTCAAGCTTCATGTTGTGTTGGGACCAGCGTCAAGCAGGAAAACTTCGTACTGCAGCCTGTGCCATATCTTTTTTCCCCACTTTCATTGCATTTCAATCACTGTACCTTTTGTTCCTAATAAAACTATTGTGGCATTAAACATGCCAGGAGTCATTCTTTCTTTGTTTTGATTTGGAGTGCTATTTAACTGGTTGATGATAACTTCTTGTTGAATTTACTTTCCAAGCACCTTTGTACATTGTTTCCTTGATTAACTGCTTCAACCTATGATTTTATGAGCTCAAGAATTTTCTTCTTGATTATTTCAAACAGAATTTACAACCATGGCTGGGAGGCGTCTTAGAGATGCTGTCAAGACAGTGCTCATGAGTGGTGGGAATAAAAAATTTAACAGTAATGTTCACGTTGTTATAGCAGGATTGACTAACACCTATTCACAGTACGTGACCACCATTGAAGAGTATGAAATGCAGAGATATGAGGTAAGTGAATAGTTTAATGACAGATGCATGAATAAGTTAATCACACAGTACGTGAATAGTTTTCTTTCTTAGGAAAAAGTTGACCGTGATGTGTAGTTTTGGTGTTAAGAGAACTATATACTAGCCAGGTTGACACGCACGGGCAGTTGGTTCATAGCAAAAATAGGTTGCCATCTGGTTCTAAATTGGAAGCTGCCTGAGACTTTCAAGCATCATCCTTATGATTGGAGTTAAATGATCTCAGTACCCATTATTCCATACCATATCACTATGAATTATCAAAGGGAAACCTGCAAGATTAAATTGAAAGTCATGGGCTTTGTTTTAGGAATTCTGTGATGTTTCATTTTTTACCTTTATAATCGCTTGTTCATGATATGAATCAAAAAAGAAATCTTTATTGGTTTATCTCCTATTTGTTATGAAGAGAATGAATCTTCTTATCGAAAGATCAGATAAAAAGGGGTTTGAATCTCCTGCCGGAATGATTTTGAATGTGGTCAATACCATGAAGAATAAAGAGATACAGTCTATACTCAAATAAAAATAGATGTTCTCATAAGGAAGCCATCGAAGGCTTTCCATCCTTGCATTTATCTGTATAATTTTATATTGTGCTTTACAATTCCTTCTTGTTTTTAGTAAACAAATAGAGAACATTTATTTAGATTATGACTTCTAAACGATATTATTCTCAGGGTGCCTCCACGCTCTTTGGGCCACACACTCTCAGTGCCTACATTCAGGAGTTCAAGAAGCTTGCAGCTGCTCTTATCAGTGGCCAGTCGGTCGAGCCTGGTCCACAACCCCCTGACCTTCTTGATAAACAAATAAGCTTAGTTACACCAGTTGTAATGGATGCAACCCCACCTGGTGTGCATTTCGGTGATTGCAGCTCTGATGTACACCTGAACTCCACTTTCAAAAGAGGAGATAAAGTCACAGTAGTTTTCTGGTCAGCTTGCCCAAGGAATGACCTGATGACAGAAGGTACCTTTTCCCTTGTGGAGATCCTCCAAGGAAAGGACAGCTGGTTCCCAGCATATGACGATGATGATTTCTGCCTTCGCTTCAAGTGGTCGAGACCTTCAAAACTGAGTACTCGTAGTCATGCAACCATGGAATGGAGGATCCCGCAATCTGCCAATCCTGGTGTCTATAGAATGAGACATTTTGGAGCTGCAAAGAGCCTTTTTGGCTCTATTCGCCATTTCACCGGTTCATCAAGTGCTTTTGTAGTGACATGAAAAACATACCGTGCTTGTACATTTACGTACTTTACTTGTGTGCTTGTATTCATTTTTTTTACGTATGATACTTGCACGAGGGATAGCTAGCATGTGCAGCTCCTGCTGAACTTTTGAATTCCTGTTTTTGTAATGCCTGGAGAAAAAGACATGGTTTGCCACGAATCCTTTCTTAAGCTGGTGATCGAGTAAATTTATTATTTTGATCATGCTTCAATTACCACTCATCCTATGGCTTTAAATAAATAAATACAAAAAAATAACCATGGATCCAATTAAAATATTTTACCCTGAAAATATGACTGTATTAAAACTAAAAATATGATAGTTTTTTGTTGTTATTTTGGAATAAAAAACCCATTTCAAAATTCTCTCTAAAATATATTTATTTATGTCTTTTTTAAATAAATATAAACTAGAGCGAAAAGAAATCGTTCTGTATTTGTTGTTGTCGAGTGCAGGTCGTTTATCAACTATGAATAAACCATTTATCAGCAGCTTGCTAAGTAGGAGACAACTCGTTCCATGAGATGAAAGCCTCGACAGATCTCTGCACTAACCGACACGTCGTTTCGTAATTTCCGTTTTGAATCTCGGAAAGTAGAGTGAAAAAGGAGAACCCGAAGTAGCCACTGTGTTGAGTTACATAAGCCCTTTTACCAGAGTGAAGAATCAGTCATCCCTAATTACTAATTTTATTGGAAATTGAATTGCAGATTTCTTCTAATTTTCCAATCTCAGCTGCTGTGCAGGAAGGCTCCAATCTCTCTCTCTAGTTGTAAACTACAGGAATTGAGAAAGCAAAAAGAAGAATCGAGGAGGAGAAATGTCGGTGCAGGAATACCTAGATAAGCACATGCTCTCTCGTAAAATCGAAGACGCCGTCAATGCGGCCGTCAGGGCCAAAACTCCCGATCCTGTTCTCTTCATAGTAAATCTCTCGCATTTTCTTTTTCTCTTTCCC